GAAGAATATAGTTGTTTGTTTTTAAAGACTCTTCCAAAAAGCTGCACGTGTTGTTGTTTAGACTTGGCAACGCCAGGGAAAGTTTGTATTTGTCCATTGTCAGAGCAAGTTTTATTATGTGACACACTATATATAAGTACTATACGGCTGTTCAGTGCAATAGGCCTGCGTGTGTGTGATTTGTATTTTGTAATAGGGATTTGTTTAGGATTTTTAGCTTCTATCTTTTACTACTATAGATGTTTGAAATAATATTACATATAGGCCCCGCTGGTTTCCCATCGAGGTATATTGTAGTTTTGTCACAGTCCATAACATCATTAAGTTGTAAGGAATATTAGGGAGGTAATGTATCATATGGCGATACTACGCTGAACTTTCATTTTCTGCAACCCCATAGAAGTGCTTTTATACTGCCTTAAGGTTTGTTATGAAATGTCTACACTCTAAAGAAGTATGTCTGAGTGACTGCATAAACACATGTTTGTGAACCTGTAATTGCAGGTTATAGATGAGTTACTGCACTATGTACAGTTTATGGACTACGTGCTGTAAGGGGGGGAAAGACAATCTCTCTTCTGATTATTCCATTACTTCTGTAATTTCATTAACTAAGCTTTTCCTAATAAAAAAAAGAAAAGGAGAAGCAGAAGACTGTCAGAGGTAATTAAAAGATAAGGTGAACAGTAGAGTCTGCTTTCCCCAGCTACATTAAGACATTTAGCTTCTGCAGCGAGAGCGCAGTATCCTTCAACACGCACACACAGAGACACCCACGCATAGCACACACTGAATGGATGAGGGAGGTGCTCTCCCACCTGCCAATAGACCCCTCACAGACATTCACCGGAGGGAGATGTGTTGCAGCCCTGTGGCGTCGTACTGGTGAAATATGAAATGTGACGGGGTGCACAATGGTTGTCAACACGAATGACTCGTAAACAAGCAAAACATTACAGCCTACACCGCGGTGTTCATTTTCCCAAAGATTGGAGAGGAGGTCCGACAACATCTCCAATACCACTTCTCACTTTTTTTTTGCGTTGTCTTATCGTGGGCAGGGGAAATAATATGCTCGCTCCAGTAAGCCATTTCAAACGTGTGGATCATTCAACTCGCTGTGTAACTGTTTTGCACTTGGTTTGTTTCAGCCTCAAGCAGATTGTGAGCAGCATACCATATCATTTTAACAAAAACATAAATACAAAATGTTTGATTTATTATTTATAGGAACACCGTTATGAAGAGGCTCTGAGTAAGTTTCATCGATATTTTACAACCTAAACCGCCATAAGGGGAATTCTATTGAATGACTTTAAGCATTTAACACATGTTTGTTCAGACATGGTTTTGTTGACATGTTTAAAAGAAAAAAATCGATGCTACTCCGTGCTACAAATAATTACAGAAAAAAAAATAAACACTTGGTCTGCAGAGGCTGTTTTGCGGCTTTATAGCTAGTAAAACAAGTATCTCTATGGTTGTATAATGAGTGCAGATGGGGAGTTTTAACGAGAAACTGACACCCTGAGTATTGCGGCAGCTACTCCACCCTCCAGCTGCAAGGATGAGAAGCATTAAAAAAAAAAAGAGCAGATTAGAGGAGAATGGTGGATCAACTTCATCAGTTAATTAAACTCTATTGCAGCTTGATGAGCAATTAATCAAGGCAGCGTGCGGCGTGTCAGGCAGGGCTGAGTTCTTCGGGTGCGGTATATTCGCGCCGTACAGTATGTTCCCAGGGGGGCAGCCCTGTGGGGAACAGTCGTTACCGAGTTAGCAGCCCTAAAATCGTACAGGGTGCACTGGATCGGGTTTATGTAAGCAGCTATCAATCACACTCTGACATAAGCCGCATCCAATTAGAGCTCCAGGATTAGGCTCCTCTCTGTGAGAAACTACTTGTCTAAATAGATTGAGTTGCAGGAAATGCTAAAATATATAGGATTATTATTTCCAAAAAAGTAATATTGACGTTTAAACCAAATGCCAGCCCTATTTCAGAGGGCAGAGGCAATAACAGTCAAAGTTAATCACATTAATCTGGTAATGTCAAACATTTTCTCATCCTGAAGATCTAGCTCTTATCTTTCATCTGATATCTGACTCCCTAAATATGATGGTTGGCTTTATGTCCTTTGTCTGTTACCCTCTTTCATCTACCTCTTCATCTCTTTCAAGATTGTGAAGAAGGCTTTTGTTTTATGCTATGGAAATTCGAGTTGGCAGTTTGTGACTAAATGCAGTAAATTTATTAACGAGACCATGGGGAACATTAAAAGTCAATTGAAGGAGGCTATTAAAAGCAGGATTTTAATTGGGTTGGTCCCTTCACTAAACCTTTTTTTCTGTCTCTTCTTCTCTTTTTTTCCAAGAGCAATGGTACTAAAAAGTTCTAAATTAATGTGTTCAGTGTTTGGTAGTCCTTGAAAGAAAGTTGCCCTTTGGAATCGCGGATTCTATTCGCAGGTTAAATCTTACTGTATAGTCAAGTACTTCAAAATATAATATTTTTTGTGTGAAAATCAGCCTTGGTGTGAGGTCAGATGATGGCAGGGGCTCATGGTATCTGCTGCCTCTTGCTGCAGTTAGTCTTGCTGAGGATCTGCTGGATCTTGCTGAAGGGCTTCAAGAGAAGAGGGTAAATCTCTTAACCTGATTGCAGCCAACACAAGGTTTTACTACAAAACCATTGGCTGCAGATCATCCGCTCGCCCATTCAATTGTGAAAACCTGACATGAGCACTGTAGCCATCTGCTTTTCATTTTTTGTTGATTGGTGTTTATGCCCCCAAGGAGTCAGTAAATTGTGTTAGTGCTGTAGCTTTAATGCATCAGATTATATAATCTGTTGAAATTACATTGCAAAGCATACAATTGTCCTAGTTTTGGTAACGTGGTGTGACACATTACAAATGGTTTTAATTGCACTTTAGCTTGTGGCTCTTGAGACGTGCTCGACTCATTCTGCACTTTAAGAGAACTGGGCTCTTTCTGTGTGTGCGCGTGTGCGTGTGCATGTGTGTGTGTGTGTGTGTGTGTGGGGCTTAAAAAAGAGTCTGTCTGTGCATATGGGAGAGTCGGAGAGAGAGATGTAGATGTAGTGTAGTATTGGCTGTGCTGACTGGATAATGACATGCAGAGTGCTGCGCTGCTCCAGTAGGTTGAGCCTCCAACCAGATGCTCCTTTCACTGCAGCTCATAAGCAGAGAGAGAGGCTGCACCAACATCTTAACTGCATTAAGCAGTAAGATTCAGGGTCGGCGATCATATACTGTTAAAGGAGCTTATTAGAGTAGATACCCATAGCATGCGGACCTGAGGAGACTGAGGCTAAGCTGGGTTCAAACTTCCTGTGAGACATTCTCTTAATGTTCCCATGCTTATGTTTTTATGCTCTCTGCGTAATGAACTCAAAATTCACTGCACTTTAATGATTCCGTCTCACACAAACTGCTCAGATTCAATGATATCGTTTCTGCAAGCTTTGAAGCTATATTGGGGCTTTTAAATTGATGATGAGGGTGTGTCTACAGTATTTTGAAAGGGAGGCACAGAAGATTGTGCTTGTGTGTGTGTGTGTGTGTGTGTGTGTGTGTGTGTGTGTGTGTGTGTGTCCGTGTGATGGATAACTGACTGAAAAAAAAAAAAAAAAAAAAAGATTGCACTTTTAAAGAACCAGATGGCAGCATCAGACAGAAGGCCAGAACAGGTACATCGAGCACTGGAGCTCAAGGGGATACTCTTAGCCACTAACTATTTAATTTATTGAGCTGATGTCATAAAATTAACAAAGGACAAAATGCACAGTACGCCGTGCTGTTAAAATGTTTTTTTTTCGGGGGGGGGGGGGGGGGGCATGGTATTAAGAGCAATACCATGTTTAAGACCACATATGTTAAGTATTTCTTCCAATCCAAGCCAATAATCCATACAGTAATCTGCCCGGTTGTAATCCAAACATGTTTTATATTTACTTGGAATAGGATCTAACACAGCAAAAAAGAAAGTGATAAGAAACATTCCTCAGGGAGAACATATGTTACTGTATATGTTACTCTAGGGGGTGACAGATGTGAACGCCATAGGACTACAGCAACACCACATCGAGAAAAGAGCTACTCTAATGACATCATGTAAGATTGCCTCCCTTCCATGTTGCTTGGTTCATCATGTTTTAGTGGAGTCTATTTTAAGAGTTTAAAAAATGTACACACTTTAAAGGCTTCTCTGATTAAAATGGCCTTTTGTTTTGTTATTTGAGAAAAACAAAATGCCTATTACAGTATGTCTAGAATCTGGCAAGTGTCGGTGCCAACCCTGGTCCTTCTCTGGACCCTTCCCTTGTGACGGGACAAGCATTATATATTTACAATGGGCTCCAGGCCAAAAAGCAATAACCATATGGTTCCTTTCAGTAAGATGGACCGCCCACTTTAAAAAGCACAGTCCAGCTAATGCACAATAAATGCTGTGTACAAACTGACTTTATTAAAAAAGTTTGTATAATTGAATCATGGTTATTCCATTAAGTAATCAATGTAGTTATATTGCAATAAGTTACCATTGCTCTTTATCCTCTTCCCAGAATTACTGAAAATTGAAATGAATATTTCATCATTACCAGAAGCAAAACAAGGTGTATCAAAAATAGATGTTTTCCGTTTAGAAATAACAACTCAAAATGTTATAGATGAGTGTGGACGTATTTGCGTCCTGTTATGACACATTTTACTTTATGGTCCTTCTGCTTTGTTAAGATGCAGAATAAAGTGAAGGTTGCACCTGCTAAAGGATCCTGACTAATGACGTCATAAATAAATAACATTGAATCACTTTTGAGCCTCCTCCACTGTCCCAAAAAACTTAGCTGACCCTCCCCTTGAGCTAAAAAAATACATAATAATTTACGAATAGTCCCTTAGCAACACTTTGCTTTCTAAAGCAGTCATGTTTATTGTCACTAAAAGTTTTTCTTTTCTGTGTTCTTCTCTTTTCAGGAAAAAGGAAACATTGCCGTTGTATTTAATGTCGGAACAGATGACATTAACATTGAGGAGACGTCAAAGTTTGTAAATGACGGAAAGTACCATATAGTGAAGTTTACGAGGAGTGGGGGTAATGCCACTCTGCAGGTGGATGACCTGCCAGTCATTGAGCGCTACCCTACAGGTGAGTCACCCACTCCGCCTTTAATTACATCTGCCACTGCTAAAAAGCGATAACATGACCAAGTGATTATCAAGTCAACTAGTAATGCTTTGTCTGTTAGGATGTTTTAATGTTGACTTGGCATGTGCTTTAATTGATTTGTATTTGTTTCTGTTTCCAGCAGTTGTTACGAATAATACAAGTGTTGTTGAGTTTTTTTCTCATCTCTGATGTTTATCGCTTTACATTAATCAATGCTGTTAAACAACCCAGGTCTGTGTAAATGGATTGCACTTAAACTCTACCATAGTCTAAAATATAAACTGTATAAAAGGGCAACCACCCACCCTTGTCCACATGTCTGCATTATATTCCCCATATAAATAAACAATCCACCTACAGTTTATGCTCGCAGAATGGCAAATCAATAGACTATTTCCAGACAAATTACCACTTTTACTGTGGCAAGTAATCGTGTGCCAGTTCAATATTTATTTCTCTGCCAATACAGAAGATTGATTGAATTAAGGCAACGGGGTGGACAAACCTTTAATAACATACTAAAACTAAATGAATGCCTTAATTAAACTGTTGCTTACTCAGAATTAGATGGCAGATGATCAGTTACATTCAACCTTGAGAAATGCACTTACATGTTTATCATTTTCATAGCATACACCACAAGTGCGCATAGACAAAAATGAAGTTGCATTGGTTTTCTCTGTCATTACTAATGCCTTATAATACATATTAATTCGTGTAGCACTTTACATAAACACAGTTTACATGACAATACAAGATGAATTCCCTTATTACTGGCCCATGTAATGAGTATTCAGTAATTTGATTGAAAGTATAACATACTTTATAAGTTCCAGCTGTTATGACTGAAATATTTATACTGGCTTTTTCTTTTATAGTGTAGTGGAAACTGGTAACGTATATAGATGGAACTGTGTCTCTGGAAAATGGAGATTCATATTGGGGAACATGCAAGCTATGTCATTATATTTGTTTATGGAAATATGAAGTAATCTACTGTTGGAAATGGAAAACAACTCGGCAACACTGGTATGTTTCTGTAGAATGTCAAGATGATAGTATGATGGCTTTCAAAATGAATTTAAATGCCGCTGCTTGTGTTGTTGAAATTGTACACTTTTTAACTGCTGAAAAGGCTTTGACAAAACCTACAGAGTATTGAAGGAGTGTGACTATTATATGACTAGATTGTAATGCTTACTCTACAAGAGTAAAAACTGCATCCCCCAAATCCAAATTTGTTAGATTGTGAGCATGCATAAAATGACTGGGCAGCAGAACGAACGGAAGACAAATTCAACCTGTCTCTAGCCTTTTGCATAATGTTTGGTGACCTTTTTAGCTAAGACCAATGCGTTCATCCAAATGAAAGATGGTTTTATGACTGGGACTCAATCTTTGCTGCTTGCCTCAGGTGGAAAAGGAAGCTAATGGCTTTTGACATGTTGTGGACATGGCAGAATGCACGGCAGGGTTAAATGCCTCGATGCTAAGATCTCAATCTTCAAACAACAAACACCCTCAGTCCCCAAGACGCCTATGATACATACAGAAGTGCTGCTCATAAAGTAGATGAAGTTGTCGAAAACAACTTTTTTTTTTTTATTACACATAGTTGATGGGATACATAAGTGTCTCTTATTAAAGGGTTTAATTATTCAGAGAGAAATATGATGGCGTTGGCTTCAGCTCAATAGAAAATTAACCACTTGATAAAACACTATCGTTCAAGATCACTTACATCCAGTAGCTTTTAAAGTTAATAATTTATTGGACTATTTAATGCCTGGCAATTGAAAACATTACGCAGTATATCTTATCTTGGTGGTGAACATATTGTAAGGGAACAGAAATCTCTGTATTTTGAATTATTGGTCAATGTATTGTGAAATTTAGAAAACTAGACAATTAATTCCACTTATGATAAGTGCTGAGTTATAAATACTGCAGGGGAGAAATGACCAATCTCATCCCCTCCAATCATACATCAGTGACAATGCCAAGTCCAGCTACCTTATTAGGCTCGTAGCAGACTAATTACATCCAATCACAATTACTGCGCAGTTCCTCCCCTCACCCCCAGCACACAAAGCCATTATTCTCTCAGCTTGCCTGTAGTTTGATTAGTATCCATGTATGCCTCTAACGCACTCATAATAGCAGCTCCCAGTCACTCTTAGGCCACTCACAGAACAACAGTGATTATAATAAGAGTAGACAGCAGAGATAAAATTGATGGCTGGAGAGTGAGAATGACAGAGAGCAGGAGATTACATGAGAGGGAGCGATCATTCTCAAAGCAAGGAAATAATTGCTTCACCAGGGCCTATATTGCTGCCCTCATAATCTCATTAAAAAGTGTCGTCCTGCTGCATACTTATGGGCCATTAAAAGTCTTTAGCACAATTACTAGGATCTAAAACGCACACGCAGACATATAACTAGCCTTCTATTTGTTGTAGTTTGGTTCTCTTTCCTTTATTCTTGCCCCGCTTTCATTTTGTAGTGCACACAAAAGGCGGGGCAGCAACAAAAAAACAGCCCCTTCTCCCGAGTCTTGGCCATGGAAGTAATACCATCACAATGGCGCTGCCAGGCCCGCAGGGTACGGCGCAGTATCCTATCGGAGCACGCAATGAACACTCTCTGCACACAAAGATAATGGAGAAGTCCCTGGCCTTATTCTTTTACTGTTATCAGAGCATGGTGCACTTACAGTGCTCTCTGTCTCTCCCTCCACTCCCCTCAGCTCCCTCTTTTTTTCTGTCCTTTTTACCCCTATCTGTCCAGCCCCCTCTGTTGATCTCACCCTCTGTCCTGTTTTTCCACCTTGCAGTGTGGAGTCTGATTTGTGGGATATGAGGGGAGGAGGGTAAGCTTTATCCATCAGAGCTCCATCCTATCTGCTCGGGTTTCTTCCGTATTTTATCCATCAGCCTATTCAGCCTATTGTGCAAGCAGTCGTCACTTAGCATGCTTAAAAATGGTGCAATGGCTGCCACAGCCAGAGTAAGGAGAAGAAAAAAAGGGAACAGTATAATACAAATTAAAGTGAGATTTGTGTAGGTTCCTCCTTCTTTAATCCTCCCGGCTCCATGAACAGAGGAAGCATTTGCATATTTGTTCATTTAATGTGGCGAGTGTCCAAGAGCTTGTAATGAGATAAAGCTCCCACCTTATCTGACCACTTTATTAACAAAAAAGAAAACAAGTGAGTGAGGGCAAAGCGGGTCAGTTGGGACGGCTCAGCTGAATCGCTGCTGTCTGGCAGAGAAGATAAGCCAGGCTGTCCCATACCAAACCAAATCACCGCTCAACAGAAGTCACAGGCTCCGCTCGCAGGCAGGATGAATGGGCTCTGCTGCTGCGTCGAAGCCCAGGGGATAGCATTGTTTAACACTCTGGTGTCCCATAGTGAGGATCAATACATGATCAGACCTTGATTATATCCACACTTAATTAACCTCGGCATAAGGATAGACTTAGCGATAGACTTAGCGTTCCACAGGGGGGCAGAGCCAAGCGGATAAAGCGCTAATGTCCTATGAAAATGGAGCATGTTTTTGCACAAAACTAGAGGATTTTGGCACAGCGGCACGCTTTGTGTCAGGATAAGTGTGTGTTTACTGTATGTGTGTGCACCTGCCGCTCTGAGATAGTATTTCATAGCACCATGTAGTGAAATAGTGAACTACAAAACTACGTGTTTATACATTGTGGCTGTCAGGGAACAAAGCAAGCATGTGTATAATGAAATTCACATGAATTAATAATTAACTAATCAGAGAAAAAGCCATTGAAATGAGTGTCGCTCTCTTTCAGTCTAAACTCGTGTGTCCTCACCGTCCTCCCAACAGCTGTAGGCTAACTGTTCTCCAGAGCCCAGTTTGTTGCTGACCTCTCCTCAGATAAGGTGTCACAGTAGCCGGAAACAGAGAGGTGACATAAGTAACACCCCGTGACTGACAAATGGAGGTGGCAGGAATTAGCAAAAACCATGAATACTCCACGACAACAGGATAATGGATTACTCATTAATTTAACACGTTCAAAATATAAGTAAGTCCAGCTGTGTGCTTGTCTGTGTCAGAATTTGTTTGTATGAAATATTTCCATCATGCACAGTGCTTCAGAGAATTAGGTGGTGCAGAGCTCCAGGAGCCTTGCATCAGGGAAATACAGTGTGTGTGTTAATACAGCAGGCAGAACGGTCGACGTTACATAAGCTGGAAGCAACTGGAGGCTGGTGTGCTTCACATCCACGTACCTGAAGGAAGCTTGGTGATTTTCTAACTGAGGAATGAATTTAATATAGTATTCAGTAATTCTTAGTTATAACATCAGAAGCTTTATTTTTGTTTCTGGTGATATGCTGAATTGTTCTTATTGTTAACAAATCCCATGAAATGACCAAAAACAGCAATGAATTGTTCCTACAAGTATTGCCTGTGTATCTACAGCCTGTTATGATTTACACCTCTGGGCCACGGAGCTCAATTATTGTCTATTAAACTATTAAAAACGCATCAATAAGATACACCGTGCACTGGGTGACATGTTCTCTCATTACCATGAACCTGGGCACTGTAGTTTATTTTACTTATTTTAGTCAATCCCACAGACGCCGTTCCGCTGCTGTAAATGCTCACTAGAGCACCCAACTTGAATTAATTTGCAGCTGAAAATAGTTCACCAACAACTATAACTACTATAGTGCCCAGCTTTGTGAGGAAATCATTAAGTCTTGTATATATTTGTAAGCCGCTCTTAAAGATTTACATCTTGGGACTCGGCTCGAGTAGTCGGAGTGGACTAATACATTGTTGGTTTTATTATTTTATTTTCTTCAAAGATGTAGAATCTCACCAACCTTGCCATGTCAGAATAAGCATGAGTACATTTCGATTTATTTTTGAAAACTTTTAACCTATTTATGTTGAAGATGACATCCATGTGCAGGTTTAAAGGCTGAGTTTGGGTTGCACTCTGTTTAGCATGAAGTTGCTCAATTTAATGGGGAGGGAAAAGTATGAAAAATAGGCACACTCAGAACGTGTCCCGAATGCGCAGCATCACGTCAGATAGCTGGACATTGTTTCAATAGTGTGGCTCACTAAATGAAATTCTGAGATCCACATCAAATAATACACACAGTGTCCCTGTGTGGCTTTCTCGTAATGCAGAATGCATCTGTCTCCATCAATGTTGAGGGAGAAGTGTTCCACTAAATCTCCTTCTCAAGCCTTTGTGCTCCAACCGGGCACAATCAACTGCAGCCAAATTCCATGAGCTCTACAGACAAGCTCTAAACCCTTTTCTGGCAGCTGATCCCCTACAGTAATTCAAGCTGATGCGATTAAAAAATGTCTTTTTATGCGTCTTCTTACCTCTAAGACCTTTCATCGGGCCAACTGTGTGCATCTGTTACAGAGTTACCTCCTTTCCTTCATGTCTCTGCCACTCTTTCCCCTTCGAAGCTATTCTCCACCGAATCATTGTTAGCTACCGGATCTTTTATCTGCCAGAACTGAATTAATATAGTTGATGGGACAAACATTGTCAATCTGCCGGAAGAATGGAGCTGACTGAATTCAATCTCTGCAGACAATGGCAGGGGAAAAGCTCTCCGAGACAGTGCCACTTTGCTGAAAGTCTTCTGTTCTGGAGAGGTTATTGGCCTTGACAAAGGGGTGATGCAGAGTTTGCCCTCATTAATGCCCGAAGTGATCCTCCAATCTTAAGTTTTTCTGTAGCTGCTCTTTCTGTCACACTTTTTTTGGCTTATTTTCTGAATAGCTTTGGAAAACTACTTTTCCATTAACTCCGATGTCATCAATGTTCAATATTTAGACTTCCTTCCTTATGACTCGTAGCGTTTGTCAAAGCTGTTTTATTGAAGATTTTACAATGTATGTGCGTACTTTGACATTGTCTTCTGACTTTTCTCTGACCAGATGCTGTGAATGTATACTGTGTTTATTCTTGTATTGCAATGAGGTCAATATTTCTTGTCAATTAGGCTATTTATAAATGGGGTGGGCATTTGTAATATGTTAAAGTTAAATTCTCCTTTAAACCATAAACGGTTGATTCAACAATAAATTTAAATGATGTTATTAATTAATTTAAAGGCCAGTTAAAAAGATATTGAGGGGGAAAGACAAAGGGGATGGAAAGATTTGAGTAAAGATTTTGTAATGGAAATGTATAAATTTGTGATTTGGGTTGGTTGATAACATAGGTATATTAATTTAGATGAAACATTTGCGTGCTAGTCCACTTATTTTCAATTAATATAGGCCTAATTTGTTGGCTAAAATAAAATAAAATGAGTGAAGTTTGTTTAAATAATGTTTGAGTAAATATTGTTTTTTTTAAATATACAAAACTTTTTAAATATAAAATCGTTGTGCAGTTGTATAGCTCCAGCATTAAGTATGAACATTTAACCTTTGACCCTACAGATTGTAACCACTGAAATGTCTCTTTAAACTTTAAAGGCAACAATGATAACGAACGCCTGGCGATTGCTAGACAGCGAATCCCATACCGACTTGGTCGAGTAGTTGACGAATGGCTACTCGACAAAGGTAAAATCACTGATTAAAATTTCAAATAAAATAATTTGATCATAACCAAGTTGTAGCAATATTTTGTAAATAATAAACCTTAAAAAATAAATGTTCAGTAAAACTTAAAATAAAAGGATTTGGACAGTTAAATTTAGTTTGTAATGTTTCATACTTTTCATAATAATGTATTTATTTTATAAGTGTTTATTGTCAACTTAAGGTTAAAGGGACTGTAAATAAGAATTTAAATCCACTTAATGAAGTAATATCAGCATTGTTAAAATGTCTATAAATTACTGTAGCATTTTGCTGTAAACATCTAAATGATAAATTTAAACGTTCTTGTTTAGTCATTTAGAAGTTGCCGAGTGTTATTTGAAACACTTTTGGAAACATGTACAGTACAGTACTTGGTGTTATTTGATCTGTTCTGATTAAACTGTTAGCAGTGATAAATAGAGAGCAATATGAATTGGCATCAGAATTCTGAGTCCCTTTAACAGACATTGTAAATATGTATAGGGCATTAGATCAAGGAACTGTAATATAAAACAAATTGAGTGCATGCTTTGTTTTTTATAGTTCAATACCTTATTCATATTTGTCACTTTAGCTGTGAAATAAGCCCTATCATTTTTATGTTTTCTTTGTTTGTCTTCTGTTTTGCATTTTTGAAGGTGCTGTCATAAAATGTTTTTATTTTCCATGAGCCCAACCATATCTGCTCTATGTTTAATTTCCCTTGGTTGCTTTTGCTAAAAGGATGAATAGATCCAAATTCCCTGAAGTGTGTCCGGCTTTCTGTGAGATTGAACACAAGAAAAGTCCAATTCTCACAGCCTGTCGCCATTTTAGATGATGTTGTTTATTTTTCTCCAGCTAGCTGTGTCCCAAGTCTGTAAATCTTAAAATTAGAAGGAAAATTACAAGATAACATAGACAAAGCATAATGACACATATGCTTTTGAGCTTTTTTTTTTGGCAAATGTTTTATACATTTGTCTTAATTCCCATGCAATTTCCTGCAAACAAATTGTCCTTTTATATTACTTTCAAGAATATGTTATCTTTTCAAGTGTCGTTAATTTGATTGCTTTGCCATAACATGACTACTTCTGCTTAATCCTTTTTTTCTTGTTATTTTAGGTTAGACTGCCCTTTTAGCAAAGCTGCATTCATTTTCTAAATCCTGTGTTTTTATTTGACATGTTTGTTTGTTTTCCTTATCATAGGCATTCCATCATTATTTCTGCAATAAATTACCAGGGTTTGCCTCTACAACCCGCAATTTATTGGTCTCATTAGCCACTGGGCAAATAATCTGTCTTTCTGTCTTTTATTTTTTTTTCCTGTTGAGTAAAAGTGGTTGAGTACATAGTCCGACATTCTTGTATATATGTAACATTGTTTTCCCACAGGGCGGCAGCTTACAATCTTCAACAGCCAAACCACTATACAGATTGGGGGCTGGGAGAGAGACCGAAGTCGATCCTTTCAGGGCCAGCTTTCGGGCCTCTACTATAATGGCTTGAAGGTGTTCAACATGGCCGCAGAGGGAGATCCCAACATTAAGATCCAAGCCAGCGTGCGGCTTGTGGGGGACTCGCCCTCCTCTATCACACCGCAGTCGAGCACCACAGCCAACCGCTCAGAGACGTCCACGTCCAACATGGAGATAACCACCACCACGGCGTCCAGCAGGCGAGTCAAACAGACTACACCACGAGAGCCTCAGCAGGTAAGATCATCTTCAAACTCATGTCATTATTGTCTCAACTTGATCCATTTTGAAATACTCACAATGCACAGCGTGACGTTAAGCACATTCTGGATTATTATAATACATTTCATCATTATGCTGCTATATAGTGGAGCGTTTGCTTTACTTAATTGTGTCATGCCTGTCTTCTCATTGAGTCCTGTGACCTAAAAGCTGAAGAAAAATAAGTGTGTTGTTCCACCATTGGGAGCAGCGCCACAGGCACACTGTTGAGCGTTTCTCCCCGTGCAATCAGGTGTGGGTGGGTGTGTGCGCGTGTGTGTGTATTAGAGTGATAACCATCATCTCTCAGCCCTCCATCATTTTTATCTGTCCTGCATGAGTGGTGCAGCAGCATTTAACTTCTCAGATGTCACAATGTGTGAGTAACCAATGCAACACAAAACGTTTGTCCGATCAAATGAAATTGCAACCAGACCTTATTCGCGCAGTCCTTTCCAAGAACAGCAAAAACACTGTAAAAAAACGTCCTAATCATAGTGTAACTGCTAAATCCTTGAGGTTCTCAAAATGTAAATAGGAATTTAACAGTTTTCTTTATTTACTTGCATCATTGCATTGGGAATTAGCTTGCAAAAAAACATGCTGACAGAACTTCATTACAATCCAGGGATACCTGAGCACCGAGCAGAAGACGGTATTGACGCTTTTAGGTCACAAAGTAAAAAGACTGTTTTATATCTCAACAAAGAGGAAAGTAAGAATGTAGTATTGATTCATGTGTTGTTGGTACGAAACAAAAACAGAAGCGTCATGGCCCACATGAAAATTTCAGCCTGTACACACAAATCAAAAAACAACCTCATTGATAAGAAATATGCTTTAATATTTATGGAGCCAAAAGCTAATCCGTGATGGCATTCAAAACTGATAAACACTGAACATAATGTGCATTTTATATCACATGAAGTCAAGTCTATCAAGTAAGCCTTGATAGGAAGCAAGTAATATGTAATTGAAACTATGAAGATACTGATGCAGGGAGAACACATTCAAAGTTAACATGTGTGTAAGAATTTCAAATATTCAGTGAGTCAGATGAAGGGAGAGCATACGTAGTAGCTTAAATCAAGCATAGTCGTACGCTGAAATGACCCTTTAATGAGGGCGTAATCAGCTCTTATAAAAAATCATTTTGGATTTAACTCATTTTGGATTAATCGGATTGGGTAAAGGAAGATTATAGCATCTCGAGGAGGGGGTGGGATTGAAAAATAAACACACTATAAAAATAATTAGATTTTGATTTTGAACGTTGTTTATGCCTTCACAGTCTCATTGAGACAACAGTTAATGCACATGTCTCAGGCTATTTCAAGAATATTTGGAGAAACGTTTCGGTGCCTTGGAAGGTGCAGTGCCGTGTTTCATTGTTCAGAAGTAATCTAATTTAAATATTTATTTTCACATTGTTGCTTCAGAATAAAATGGAAGCATAAAAAGTGCCTTGAATGCTGATTTATCTTTGAAGTCAGGCTTAAGCTTTTATAGAGAGCTTTTTTAAAAAGATCAACTCTATTCAAAGCAAAAGAAAATGTCAAGTTTTTCTCTGAATTTAGCACTGTTCAAGCTCCAGCTCATATTATGAAATCACAAACTCCCTCAGACAATTCGAGTCTGGTTTCTCTCTCTCTCTCTCTCTCTCTCTCTCTCTCTCTCTCTCTCTCTCTGACAATTTTAACCATTTGTGTAAGGGTCTGCAGATGCTGGCAAATAATACAATCACAAATATTGATCTCGCGGAATGGTTTTCTCTCAGACTCAGCATGGTTCCTGAACCGTTGCAGGAGCACGTAATGCGGGAAAAATATCAAACAATAGACTGTAATTATATCCCAGCGCCATGTGGTGTTATAAACTGCTACCAAGGAGCCATACGATTGGCCCGAAAGGAACATGCTTGATGAGATGGTTGCCTTCCTTTTTCAGGCATTTTCATCTGGAGAGAAATAAAGTGATATAAATGACCATGATAATTTAGAAAAGCAGTGTATTACAGAGATATACACACAACATATTTCATGCTTTAGATATGATCAGACGTGTGGATATCTAACATTATGCTCTTATGCTAAGCAGATTCTGATAGTTATAGAGAATAATTTAGTCAATAACAGCGGTCATGTGTACAGCTATTGGTTTTGCAATGTTCCGTGCAATTATTTATCAACTGTATATTACATACTTTTTGGAGGGAATCTACTTGTGCCTATTGTTTTAAACGTTAGTCGTGTATCAGTAAGGCTTCATGCATGTTAGCTCACCTTTAAAGTGGCATTAAAGGCTTGGAAAAGGGAGATTAGTCAAGGCTAACTGTGTTGGTTTAGGTGTTATCTAATGCATTCATAGAGAAAGAAAGGTCATTGGATTAAAGAGTTGCTATGTGATGTAGGCGGAGAGATGAATGAGGCATGCAGAGATGTGTGCATAGGGAGATGTCAATGCCTTCAGTTTGATTCAACTTGACGACCTTCCCATGGAGACCACTCGCGGTAGGACATTACCGTTTCAGGACACTACACTTAGAAAGACGTTGTGTCTGGTCTATGTAAAAAGAGATGGTGCAATCACTGTTCTCTTACCTTGAAAAGTCCGCATTTTAATCGCTGTCCAGCTGTTCAGTCTCCACTCTGATGGGAATGCAGTTCAGTGAATTATTTTATATCCTGAAAGCCGTACATTACAGTGACACGTACGTTTTTATTACGGCCAGCACCAGTGGAGATGGAATGGCAAACGCCTATTGCTTTCAGTATTATCATTTAAAGCACCTATAATATATCATTTTAAATAACAATGGATCACATGACTTTGTGCAATGTGATGTTTACTCACAGTGAGGAACCCACAGATGCTGCCTGCCCGGTTTAAAACAACAATTAGCTACAGCAACTAGCTGGTTAACATTTAGCAGCTACAGTGGCTACAGTCCCATGAGTGCAGGAGGTTTGACAGACAGAGAAGAGGGATTTTGATCTGACTATCTAAGATGTTTTAGATTGTTATGTAATTTTGTGAATGCATAAACAAACTTGGAAAATTAATGTTTTCCTTCACTGTCTCGTTAAAAGTTTACATTTTACAAGTTTGTGCAAAAAGAAACAGATGTCCACAGGATTGCAATGATGAGAGAGATCTGAATACAGTAATCAGTTGCTTATAAGTATGCATAATCCCTAGCCTCTGATAGATAAATACTGTTGATACATGCTTTCAATAAAAATAAAGTTAGCATGCAACACTGCTGTCTTGCGGTGTACACATGGTCAAAATGCCAGCACAATTAAATCTTTCAGTGACTCTGTAGATGTAGGGTATGTCTTCTTGCACTAGCCCACTTATCTCCTAGAGGGTAAAGTCAGTGCTAATCATCATTAGCGTAATGATTTTGAAGGGTCTGGCTTCTCAGGTGCCCTATCAAAAAGTTATCTAAATGTTCAACTGGGGTTTTATTGTTATTAAATACTGTGGGCCTTGGCTTATGGGTAGCATTACATTAATGTCATTCTTCGCAAACCACTGGGTGTCCTCTCATGCTTTATTAACAAAGGATATTATCATCTTAGAGCTCACTGGTCTAATCAGGATAGAAATGAAGCATGGGAAAAGCTGATGAGTCAGAATTGTTATTTAATAGTTATTAGAATCCCCCCTTTGCTTAAGGTATGCTGGACTGATTTAATTCCAGGCCTTACAACACACTCAAATACAGAGATACTAAATAGGCATAGTCTTGATGTTACCTTTATTTTATATAATATCTTGAGGTTTTCCCGACGAAAAGTATTCTACACTCTGTCAAGTAATGTCTGTAGTTGCTTTTTGTTCGCCATGATTCCTGCCCTACGTAGAGAAGGTAGCTTGCTGTATGAGGCTGACTGTCGTGTCTTAATGAATTGTCTGCTCCCTGTAGCGGTGCAGAATAATACAGAATTAACAGTCTGAACAGCAAAAATGTGCGCGCATTGAAATGTTAATTTACAGTTGAAATGTCAACGTTATGAATTAAGCTTCAAACTATTTGGTACTGCCTTTATATAACTATGGAATTAATTACCTCTCGGTGAAAGTCTTTGCTGGATGTCATCACTTTCACCCTTATTTGTTGAACATATCCCACTTATGGATGTTTGTCCAATAATAGCGGAGAGTCTCTCATCCTGGGCTGACAAATCAGATGGCGCTTGTCCTCCTCTGTTTTCTTATTTTTCTTCTAGTCTGTTAATACTTTCTTTGGCATTGACTTAAATATCAAACCATTTCTTTTTTTTTTACCTGAGCTACAGTCCGTATCTTAGGGGACACAACATCCACTGCCTCGCAGCCCAAGCCTCATCGTTAGTCCTTTGGAAGAACATCAGAAAACTGCCTTTTCTGCTTTCCACCTCGGACACTATTGCCTCAATTCCTTCAGTAGTTGTATATTTTAAGTAGAGGCCAAGTTTCTCTCATTAGCAACAATCGAACTGCTTTCTTCGTGACAAATCTCCAGGCAAACATATTTTCTTATGTAGAGAAATGGGGGCGTGGCAGTCTGCTGATTTCCAATAATACACACAAGCCTATCAATTTAGAATTATTATGATTCGCTAACAGAGAATAAAATTGGCCGGTGCGCATGTGTCATGAATCCGACGGTAATTCTGCTTGTGCACTTATCTTGTAAGTGCAAAATGTTCTTGCTTAGTTTTGTAAGTGAGTACATTTCTACGCACATATTAGTAAATCAGGCCCATTGTGTTTTTGGTTTGTCCGTCCGTCCGTGTCAACCTGGAGGAAGAGCTGATTCGATTTTGGAGGTTAAAGGTCAAGGTCATTGTGACCTCACATACATCCTTTTCTTGTTAACACGATATCTCAGGCATGCCTTGAGCGAATTTCTTCAAATTTGGTGCAAACGTCCAGTTGGACTCAAGGATTAAATTATTAGAATTTAGTGATCATAAGTCACTGTGTCC